AGATCCAGGAAACCACCAGTTCCACGAGGTCTACATGGGGAAACTGACCGGATTCTGCAGGACAGAAGGCTGACGGGAAGACACAGTCGGACCATAATGAGGTAATGCTGCCCAAGGAGGCTCAAGGAATTCTATGACGTGTCCCACAGTGACTTCTGTGGAAGGTTCCAGGATGTATTTCAAAGGACAAAGTCTCTGAATAGGTCGGGGAGTCACTGTCACAGGTCTGGGGCCAGCAGGGGGGCAGGGAGGAGGCCACGGGTGTAGAGCGCCCCAGGAGACTGCATGACGATGGGCAGACGTGCACAGCTCATGCAGCCAGACCCTGCCTCACACTGTACAAAGGGGTTCCCAGAAGACCACTGCACGAGGGGCTGGGGACACAGCTCATGCACAAGTCCGTGGGTTCCTCCCAGCACCACACACACACACACATACACACACACACACACACACACACACACACACACACACACGTGCACAGACCACTGCGTGAAAGACAAAGCCTCAGAGCAAGAGAAGAAAATCCAAAGATGTCCCCGCTCTTGGCCCTGGGGTGAGGAAGCACATTCTGAGACCCTGCAAGCACAAACCATAGGAATAAAATTCAATGCAATTGGGGCTGGGAATGTGGCTCAGGCGGTAGTGTGCTCGTCTGGCATGTGTGCGGCCCGGGTTCGATCCCCAGCACCACATACCAACAAAGATATTGTGTCTGCCGAGAACTAAGAAATAAATATTAAAAAAAAAAAAAATTCAATGCATCTGAGCAACCAGATGCCATGCACCCTGTTTAATAAGGGTCTTCACAGCCATGACACGTGACAGTACAACCCCAACACCCGAAATGCACAAGCACCTTTCTCAAAGAAACGAGAGTTAACAGGGCAGAGGACGCCAATGGGTAAAATCGTGAAGCTTAGACGACAGCAAGCAGGGCAATCGGCGAGACACAAAACTTCCCAAACACTCTACGTCCAGCGGAAGACAGCCCCAAATGCAGGGGACGCAGCAATGTACAGGCTGGTACAGAGGGCACAGCTGCAGCAGGGGGCCAGTGACAGAGCAGCAGGTGGCAGGTGCCTGCTGTGAGAGGGTGTGACTGCAGAATGTGAACCAGCCAACACAGGGGCCCAGGACCCCAACCCTGGAAAACAAACACCATGGAGGAGGAAAACCTGAAGACAGGGCTGCCAGGGGCCTGGGGGGGTGGGGGCACACAGCAGAGGAGCCACCGGGCCCACCACAGTGCGGGTCCCCAGTGTTACAGCATGGGCGAGCCCACAGCAGGCCCACACCAGAGGGAAGAGGGCAGCAGGCCAGGAGCTCCACAGTTTACAGACGAGCCCTGGAAGTCTGTCCTTTTCTTCAGTACAGGGGACTGAGCCCAGGGGCACTCCACCACTGAGCCATACTTCAAGCCCTTTATCGTCTGTATTTCTTTTGAGAGAAGATTTTTTTGAGACTGGCTTCTTGCCCAAGCTGGCCTCAAACTTATGATCCTCCTTCCTCAGCCTCCAGAGTGGCTGGAATTACAGGTATGGCCACCACGCCCAGCACCCTTCTCTGCTTCTAAGACAACACACAAGAGCCTCCGTGGCACACTGGGCAGGAGCTGGGCTGCCTCCTCCAGGCAATGCCCGCCCCGCCCAGGCTGTGGAGGCCTGAGAAATAAAGGAAAACAGCAGGAATCAGAGACTCCAAAGGCTGAAGTCTTGCCATGCCATCTAATGCAGCACTCTTCAACTGCCCCCAGGACCTTTGTTTGGAGGAATATAAGAGCAGGTGGCTGTCCCCCACACCTGCTGGGCTGCTGTACTCCCCTGTACAGGGGCTTCTCCTCCGGGGCCTGTCCACAAGCCTGTCCACCCCCAGGGGCTGCTTCTCCTGTCCCTGTGCGGTAATAGCTGTAGAATCCTGCCAAGTGGCAAGGCGGACCCCTCCTGCCTCCACAGGGCCGAGTGGCATCTCCAGGTCTGGCCCTTCTCCAACAGCTCCATGACAACTCAGGACCGTCCTGCTCTTCCTCTGAACCGAGTGTGGCTCACTAAGCACACCCCATCCACACGTCTAAGTCCACACGCTTGAGAGACGCTCTTTCTGGAGGCATTGTGTCCCACAAGAGCACACATGGCCTTGCTCATCAGCACATGAACGCCTACAGGCCCTGCAAGATGTCCCCAACCAACAGGGCAGCTCCCCAGATCAGACAGCCAGAGCCACCCAGGCACCTGGCTACCCAGGGAATCACGGTGGCTCCCTCCTGGTGCAAGAACGGCACCCCGTGGCCACTTCCCTGGGGCTGACGAGTCACCTTCCAGCTTCTTACAGCACTACAGCCCCCTCCGCAAGTCCCACTGCACAAGCCTCAGCACCGGGGCTGAGAGGATGCCAGCCCACGGCCAGGCAGACTGGCCGGCACAGGGCACCACCCAGGCCAGGCCTCACAGGGTTGAACTGCCCCTCCAGGAATTTCTGTGACCACCCTCAGAGCCCTCTGGCAGCCCGCCACCAGGAAACTCACCAGCTGCAAAGCCTCTTTAGCAGCAGGATCCTTCTCACAAATAAAATCTAAGTGGACCCTGAGGACATCCATGCCCGTAGGAGTGGGCAGAGCTGCTGCAGCGGGAGGAGAGGGCTGGCACTCCCAGGTGGGACAGCGACACCTCGGCCGCGCTCTCCTCCTGTCTGCAGGCTGCAGAAGCAGCACCTGTAGATGCCTTGCCTCGGGCAGGGCAGGAACAGACTCTCGGGGTAACAATGTCAGGCCAGGCTGGCTCATGGGCAGGCTCTGAGGGTAAGGATGTGGTGTGTCCACTGCTGTCCCTAACACCAAGGCAGGAAAGGGTACACCTAACACCTTCTCCAAACGAGCTCCCTCCTTCAGGATGCCGGGCACAGGGTGCCAGGCCCAGCCATGCCCCAGCCAGGCATGACTAGCTTCAGGTGACGCTGGCCAGAGGAAGAGACCCTCCCTATTTCTGAGCCAGAAGCTGCAGGCTTGAGTCCTGACAGAGCCTGCTTGCTGGACTCCTGAACCTTCCCTGGAACCAAGCCCTTGGGGAGAGGAACCCAGCACATCCAAGAACCTGAGTGATTCCTGGGAAATTTGCAAGGAAGCTGTGACTGCTGGGGCAGACGGGGTCTTGTGGCACCCAGTGGATGAGCAAGAGCCACACCCAGGCTGAGCCGAGGTAGTTCTGGAGAGGATGAAGGCCTCACCACACTTCCAAGGGGACTGGCAGAAGCCGTTTGGCCTTGGCTACAGAATCTAAGAGGGGCCAGGCCGAGACTCCAGGCAGGAGCTGATCAACAGGGCAGACTTCACCTGCTCAGGAGTTGCCATGGCTGCCACTGGCCAGGGCCACTGGACAGTGGAGGGAAAGAGGCAGAAGGTGGACACTCCTTGAGGGCCCAGTGGGAAGCAGAAATGGTTCCTGCAGGTGTGCAGCCCCAGGCAGGGCAGGAGCTTGCTCCCAGTAGCCATTCATCCACCCATCAGCACCCACCTGCTGAGACCAAAAGGTGGGCCCCCCCCCACGCCTCAGGTGGTGGGGGTGGGCATTACTGGGATGGCAGGACAAAGATGGCCCCAGAACTGAGATGCCAAATGCCATGGGACCACAGCGTGCCACGCTCAACAGGGAGCTGCCTCACAAGTCATTGCCAGGGCGGAGGCGCGTCACAGGTCACCCAGGCCAGCAGCTGCTGACCCGGCTGCTTCCCAGGTCCTCTCTCCCAGCACAGTTTGACTGAAGCTGACGAGAATCTCCACGCCAGGGCTGGGGCTGTAGCTCAGTGGTTAAGCACCACTCAGTTGAATCCCCCAAGAAAAACCCTCCCAGCTGGGCAGGAGGGTGGACAGCAGCTTCTCCAGGTCTGGGCAGAAAGAGTGGGTCAGATTCAGGGTGGCTCCAGGTGGCAGAAACATTTGGTGGTGCCATGAACAGTGGGCACCAGAGCCCATCAGACTAAACACCTAACCAGGACCTCGCCCAACGGCAGACACAGACCACAACAGAACAAGTCACCACTGAGACGCAGCCGTGGCTGCTAGCCCTGGCTTATCAGGTCCCCTGGTCCACCGCACCCTTACCTCCTGCTGGGGCTCCTCGCCAGGCCTTGGCTTCTTGGGTTTGGAGGGACCTCCAGGGCAGGAGAAGGACTTGGGCGACATGGCCAAGGGTGAGACTGGAGACTTCGCGCTCTGCGAAGGGCCCCCCAGCCGCTGTCCCCCACCAGAGAAAGGAACAAAGGGGGCGGACACAGGCTTCTTTGTGCTCTGCTTTGCCTGAGCGTCTCCTGGCTGTGAGCTGCCCGTGAGGCTGGTCCCCGAGGTGCCTGCATCATCCTGAGACCACAGGTCGCCCCTGATGAGCCCCCCTGATTTTAAGAGGGGCAGAGGGCTGCCAGTGGCCTGGGTGGCTGACGTGGAGGAGGCCGGGCTTCCTGGGGTCTTGCTCCCCATGGCCCCAGGCTCCTGCTGGCCTGCAGAGTCACATTGCTTCATGACAAACCTGGGGGAGCCAGAAAGTGAGTGGACACCACAGAGCAGAGGACAGGACCTTCTCCACTTTCTCCAGTCCCACCCTCTGAGGGCACCTCATAGAGGGGTGGCCCGAGCTCCCGCACCGCCTCTCCTACTTTCCACATTCCCTCTCTCTTTCCTTTGAGATCTCGGGTTTGTTGTTTTGTGTGGGGATTGAACCCAGGGGCTCTACCACCAAGCCGCACCCCAGCCCTTTATGTGTTTTTGTGACAAGGTCTCACTAAATTGCTTAGGGTGATCTTGAACTTGCGAACCTCCTATCTGAGCTTCCCAAGTCGCTGGGATTACAGGTGTGGCCACTACACCTGGCCGAGCACACATTTTATTTTTAACTAAATGGAACTCCAAACCCAGTACTGCTCTGCCCTTACCTGATGGTGGCACTGCCCCCAGTCAGCCCCAGTGACTGCAGCGTTGTGCTCCGTAGGGCCTCTCCGCCAGTGACCTGTAGGAAAGGCAAACAGGACTCTTAAGTGCCTCTCCCGGATGCCACACCCAGGGCAACACCCCAAGCCCTCGCTGACAAAGACCTAGCAGGCCCAGGCCGGGCTCCTCTGACAGTGCCCTCTCCCACCAGGCCTTCCTCTGCCCTTGAGCTCTGTGAGCCCACGAGCTCTGCAAGGTCCAACAACCTGACTTGCAGCTGGTGAGGCCCCGTGACCATCTTTCTCCACCCAGCCTGGCCTCCTCAGCTATGAATTGAGCCCACTGAGGCTGGGAGAGAAGGATGGGCTGGGTGGGGGCCACCCTGAGGCCCGTAGCCCTGCCCAAAGCTGCCGGCCAGTGGGAATGGATGGGGGGAGCGCACTGAGGTGAGCGCAGAGAACAGGCCCCATACCCACCAAAATTGCCCATCTTGATCTGTGAACACTAGGTCCATGGCCACCACTGGCCAGAATGACTGCCGAGTCTGCCCAGAACAGCCTGTTCAGAGAAGGGCCTCTTCCCCAGCACTCCCAGGCCCCTCACAGCCCACTGCACTGCGGCAGGACGCAGGGACAGCAGACAGCCCAGGCCTCAGGGGTCCAGACACTGGGGTGCCGGTCAGGTTCACCAGCTCCACAGCTGCTGGCCAGGCTCCAGCAGGACCAGCCACCTCTGTGGAGGGAGCCCGTCCATGGCTCTGACTCTTCAGAACCCTTTGAGCCACAGGGACCCCAGGTCAGAACATAGTCCCGCGGGCTCTGCTGGCCTGGCCAGGGTGGCAGTACCCACTCTGCACCCTGTCTGGCTGTGGCCAGCCCAGCTTCTTCCCCACCATGCCACCAGCAGCCACAGCTGCCCTCCAGGCCAGTGCTGCCTCAGAGTCACTGACCTATCTGACTAGTCCTCCCCTCTCAAGGACCACTTTTGGTTGTGTTTTGCCAGGGACTGAACCCAGCACCATACTCCACCACTGAGCAACATCCCGCCCTCAACAGTCATTCCTGACACTCAGCTCTGGATGCACAGGGCTCAGGATGGACAGGGCCCAGGCCCAGCTGTCTACACCCACTGAGCTAACCTAAGCTCTTTGAGGAGCAGCCCCTGGAGAGGATCGTCCCTCTGAGGGCTGAACACAAGAGCCAGGGTGCATGGCCACACCCCAGCGGTCAGCCCAGTCCCAGAGGCCTGTGGCCATCTCTTCCCCAGGACGCGCTGGCATGAGCGGCTTCCTGGTCCCTCACAGCTTCAGGTCAGGGGACCTCGAATGGGAACAACGGGGGGAAGTCCTGGCCACACAAGGGCTGTCCCAGCCTCTCAGGGACCGTGTCCCCCACTCTGCCCCAAGCCAGCAAAGGGCACTGGGCCAGGGTTGAAACAAAAAGGCCCTGTGAGGCCACAGGACCAGGCACTAGGAGGGTCCCCACCATGGCAGGCAGGCTGCCGGGCGGATGGCAGGGTCTTGGGGCCAGACTTTGCCTCGGCCTCGCTGTGCTCGGTTTTGAAAAAGATCAAAACAGGGAGCAAAGCAAATATTTATTAAAATGAAACCACTTTTGTAACTCTTGGGCTTTGAGAGAAGCTGAAAAAACAAACAGGCCACTGAGGGAGGTTTCGGGAGCAGCCTGGGCGGCGCGGCTGGTCCCAGTGGGCCGGCTGTGCCGCTTCTTTCCATAAAACACGCCGGCTCTCAGGAGCCGCCGCCCAGGCTGCCGCTTTGAGCTTTGAAGATGGTGGGCAGTTTCCAGCCTGGAGAGCGGGCTGGGCTGGCTGAGCATGGCAATGGGCAGGGGTGGGTGGCCGGCACCTACCTCGTCCCTCATGTACACACAGACAGGGGTCGCCTCTCCCGGCTGCTGCACGTGCTCTCTGGGTGGAGGAAAGAGTGCTGTCAGGGGCCTCTGGGTGGGACAGCTAAGAGCCCCAGGCACCCAGCCCAGCTGGGGGCAGGGGGCCCTGGGGGCTTAGGGCCACAGCCCTCAGCCAAGCAGCCCAGCTGGCATAGCCTCCCACACCCCATCCACCCCTGACCACTGGGAGGAGGGAGGCGACAGCCAAGCAGAGCCCCAAGAAGGTCCCAGCCATTGGCATGCAGCCTTGAGAGAGAGGGACCGTCAACCCTAGACAACCCCAGCAGCAGCACGCTGCCAAGGGTGCTACACTCTGCTGTGTGCTAGGCCAGGGCACGAGACAGGTATCAAGGTCCTGGGATCTGGGTTTCCATCTCAAGACGACTCTCAGAGGGCCACTGACCCGAGATGGCCAGGACCAGTTCAGCATGCAAAGCCATTAGGCGAACTTGGAGCAAGAGGTAAAGTCCCCAAGGCCACGAGCATTGCTATATGCTGTCCCCGCTGCCCAGCACATGGGGCTCACTGGGGTGTACATGCAGCAGTCTTTAGGTACTACAATGCCAGTCCTTGACCACAGCGCACATGGCAGTCCGCAGGGCCCAGTGGATAACCGCAGGGCATGGACAGGGACAGTGGCACCTCTTGGTGAAGCACAGTTCAACACCCGTGGTGTCGAGTGGGACAAGACAGGCTCTGAAGAGGACCTTTACACAGTGAGGCAGTGGCACTGCAAACACGCTGGTCCATGCCTGCCCAGAAGGCCACCTGGAAGCTGAGCTCCCAGGGACCAACACAAGTTGGGGACAAGAACAGGAATAGGCTGGGAAACACCAGACCCAAAGGGATCCGCCCCCCATACACAGCCCCCCCCCCCTGCATGGTCCCACCAAGGGCTGTGCCCATCCCTGGCCCCACGCTCAGCTCAGGCCTGACTGCCCACATCAGTCAGCCACATGATGTGGGGCAGGGCTCGAGCAGCAAGGGGCATGGGTCCGTGCTGGCAACCAGAAGGCAGGGCAGAGACTAGGTAAGGCAAGGCTTGGATGGGCTGCAGCCTGGGAGGGCCAAGGACAGGCACTGGGACCACCAGGCAGGGAACCTGGGCACCAAGCGGGTTTGCAGCCCCCCCTCCCCTTAGAGCATACTGTAGAGCGTCTGATGGCAAGAGCTCTGGTCTCTTCCTGGGTTACTCACAGCTCTATGGGCCCTGGGAGGTTTGGAAACCAGGAGGTGGGACCTAGCTGAAGCAAGTGGGCCCTCAAGGCACCTGCCTTTGGGGACTCGACCTTGGCCCCAACCCCTCCTCCCCACCCTGCTTCCAGCCCCTGTGATGAGCAGCTGGCTCCACCACACCCTCTGCCACCAAGCACTGCCACTGAAGCCCAAGGCCTGGGGCTGCAGGGCTAGGGACCAAGAAGCCTCCAGAACCACGAGCCAAGATGAACCTTTCCTCCTTCAAGCTGTTGCTCTCAGGTGCTCGGTCCCAGCAACACACACAACCTAAGGAAACAGGGAGCTCAGGCCACAAGTCGTCTGGGAAAGCCCTGAATGTGACAGCTAGCTTCAGGTCACACAGCTGGCCGCACCACTCAACCAGGGACTCCCCCGGCCCTGATGCCGGCAGAGCGTGGCCAGGGCTCCCTGAAGCAGGGGTGCACACAGCAGGACGACATCAAAGCCTGGACGGGCTCCGACACATGGCTTCTCCAGAAGAAACCCAGGCGGTCAGATTCGCTTGTGCAAGACTGAGGAGCGGCCAGAGGCCAAGGGAGGGCACTAAAATCCCTCCCAGACCTTCAGCCACTCAGACCAGCAAGCAGAGCTCCCTGCCAGGTGGCAGGTCTCCGGAGGCCTCCTGCACAACCCTCAGGTTCTGAAGACCTGCCGTGCACCACAGGCCAGGCGAGCCTGGAGGGAGAGACAACCAGTGCACCCCGTGGTTCCTGTGGTGCTACCCACTCACATGAGACACCCCTCGGCCAAAGAGAGGGTGCTGGGGGCACAGTCAGGTCCCAATCCTCAAAGGCCAGCAAACATTCCCTGGTCAGAGCCAAGGGCCAGCTTGGATGATTGGGCAGAGCAGAGATGCCACGGCTGCTGGCCTTGGGTACAAGTTCCACCCACCACAAAGCTCATCACCCCCTGAGGGGTAGACTGCCCACTCAGGGCCCCACTGCTGTGTGGTGCACCTTGTGCTGGGGACAGGCGGTGTCTGTAACCACTGTTTGGCCCTGAACAAGCCAGAGCTGGTACAAACACACTGCCAAGAAAATTTTGTGTTCCCCACACAAGAATGACACATGCTGACAAAAGCTAGCAAGACCAGCAGAGCCGTGACTGCCGGAAGAGTGGGTCCTCCTGCTCAGGGAGCCTGGAGAGCCAGGCAAGGTGTCTTGGCCACCAGCACACGACAGCACAGACCTGCTCCCTGCCCCCTGCCCCGTGTTCAGGCTGGAGGGAGCAAAGAGGGCAGCAGCTGAGCCCAGGAGTTCAGAGCCAGCTGTCCACTGGGCCCACAAAGCAATGAGGAGGGGCTGAGTCCCCTGTGTAGCCAGTTCATGGACTTGACACTCACCAACACCCCCAGTACCCGCAAACTGACTTGAGAGTGCCCCCTGGGGCGGGCTGGGCCGGAGTGGAGCAGAGGCGGCCGAGGCTCCTTGGGGCAGGGCACTCCAGCCTGACTGGGGGCTCTGCCCAGGCAGCGAGTTCCAGTCTGGGGACTTCGGCATCTGTGCTCAACACATGTCGGGCTTTCTCCCACCCAGGCTCAGCCCTTGATGTTGCTTCCAGCTTCCCCCTCCTCCAAGCTCACCTGGCCATGCAGAACTGTGCCTGCTCAACAGCTGCTCTGAGGGCTGCCCCACGGGCAGCAGGATGCTGCCTGACTTGTCCCTTACACCCCACACCAACCTGTCCTGGAGCTCCTCACAGGTCCCCCACCTGGATGACACTCAGGCCCCCAAAAGCCCCCAGCATCCGCTCCACGTGCTCCTGGCCTCTGCACGTGGCTGTAGACGTGCTCTTCCCAGGCCTGCCCATGGTAACATCTTGACCGCCCGATGCTGCAGCTCATCGCTGAAGGGCACTGCAGCCAGACTGAAGGTCCAACCCAGACAGGCAGGAGCAGCAGCGGCCCAGATGCCAGTGAGACATACCCAGTGCCAAGAACTTCAGGCCCACAAAAGGGGCCTCATCTTCCCGTTGATTGCGTGCTTGAAGAATACTACTTTGGTACACTGAGCTAAACAAACATTACTAAAATTATTATGCCCATTGTTACTTTCTGCTTAACACAAGTGCTAGGAAATTCTGAGTTCCTTCATGACCTGACGGTCATTGCTTGTGTGGTATTCCCAGAGCTGCTCCAGAGGCTGGGGGCCAGGTATGGGCCACATCCATGTTCAGATGGAAGGCCCTACCTAACATCACTGGCTCTAGCCTAGGAGACCACCTGGTGGTCCCCGACACACCGAGCATGACCCCCATGCCATGCTGATCTCCAGAGGACTCCCTAGCAGGTGTAGGTCTGCGATCCCCAACCTAAGCACACCTAACCAGGCCCAGCACCTGTGTGGTTCTCATACTCTCCCACTTTCCGGAAGTATCAGGGAGTAGCCAGCTTCTCTCCTGTCCCAGTCTGGGGAGACTGGGGGTCCCAGAACCAGACCACATGCTCCTCCTCACTTCATGTAAACATGTCAGAATCAGGGATGTCTCAGTTCCCAGTGGACCCTCTGCTCTGTCCCCAGCCTGTGCTCACTGGGCCTGGAGCCCTCACCATGGAACTGGAAAAAACACACGCGCGCGCACGCACACACATACACGCATGCATGCACGCACGCACACACGCACGCAAGGGGCCTCCATCCTGCTTCCCAGTGAGGAGCACCAACTTCAAAGACAAAACTGGTTCTGCACTTCCAGAGCTGAAATGTCTCTTGGTTCAGCAATTCTGCCTCTGGAACTTATCCTAAGGGAGGAGCTAAGGGTGGTCCTCGGCCAGCAGCCCACTCCCACTGCCTGTGCAGGCCACACGCTGGGCAACAACTGGCTGCGTCTCTGGCGAGTTGGTCAGGTACAAAAGGCAGTCCTGTCACCCAGCAGAGGAGGGAAGTGGGAAAAGCACTGAAGACACTCTCCACAAGGGAGTCTGCACAATCATGGCCAGAAAGGCCAGCCCAAACCTCTTCCCACGCAGCCTTCCCATGTCCATGAGCTGTCATGAACATCCTTGACAGACACTCCAACTGTCACCCAGGCCCTGAGGCTGTGACCTCCAGACTCCATAGCCTCTATGGCGCGTTCCTCCAGGTGGAAGTGCTGCCCACCCTCCCCCCAGCCACACTTCACCATTTACAATCACCCAGCCTAGGAGGCTTCTGTGAACACCCTTGGCCTGCCCCAGAGGCCACTCCAGGACACTCGGGGCCATGTCCTCGTCTTCGTACCCACCCACCACCAACATGACAATAAATGAGGTACAGTCCACGAGCCGCCGAGAATCCTGCTGCCGTGTGCAGCCCTGGGACCGCCACCTCAGGCAGTACCAGGCCCAGAAGGCAGGTCCCCTGGGGCTGTCTGTCCTGGGTGCTGACTCTCCTCAAGGAGCCCGACTCCACCAAGCACAGGCCGCAGTTCCCTCCCTGGGGTGTGGGCAACACTGGAACCTTTCTGGGATTCGGAAAACACCGGATTCTGAAGGCACTTCTCCACCCCCGAAGAATTCCCAGGCCTGCCCTCCCTCACAGCTGTGGAACGTCCTGCATTTCACAACGATGACCCTTGATGAGGGTCTTCCACACACTCGGCTGGGCCCTCAAACCTTGGGCACTGCTCTCCAGAGACCCACAGGAGAGGCTGAAGATCCCACTGAGTTTCTGACTGACCCTCTGCCCTCTTTTCTCCACCCTCCACTAGGGTGCCCTCAGTTCCTCCACCCACCGAGGAGGCGCAGCCTCTATCCTCAGAGGAGTCAGCCACACAGCCACCAGGAGGGTGACCAGCAGTGGTCATGAGCCGGCCAGTGGTGCGTGCTGGCCCCAGCCTAGGAGGCTATGCACACTCTGGCTCTGAAGCCCACAACCAGAGAAGGAGCCAGTCCGTGTGACCACAGCCGCCACGGACCAACACCTGCCTGAGGCGCTCCTGGCTGCGCACACACCTGCAGCCCCAGGCCACCTTCACCCAAGTGCTCCGTTGCAGCCCATCCCCATGTTGATGACCTCGCATGTCCTCTGAAGACAGCGACTAACACACAGTTCCCAACCAGCCGGGAGCCATCTCGTCCTCTTCATTCCCCTGCCTCAGGGGCAGCTGCACACCTGGGGCGTCCACTCATCTTAAACCTTCAAACCAGGCTCCATCAAAACTGCTGTTATCAGGGTTGCCGAGAGCCCAGCCTGCAGACCCCAGTGCCTCATCCTTAGTGCAGCTGAGGACAGCTGGGCACTCCACCCACCCACTAGGGTCCAGAGCAGTCTCTCTCTACAGTGGCCTCTGCCAGGCAGAGCCACGTCGCACACACAACCCCCACGCCAGGCCCTGTTCTCAGAGCTGGAGACACCCCCGCTCATCTTGTCTGCACACCCATGCAACAGAAGGGGCCACAAAGGCCCTGAGAGTGGAGCAACAGAGCCTCACAGTCAGCACTACTCCTTCTGCTCTGCTGGTGAGGCCGGTCAAGTGAACAGAGACTTCCATCCCACAATGAAAAGACCCAAACTTAAAGGGCTACCACTTTCACACATCCAAGAATAAAGCTTAAACCATAAATCAACCGCCAGGAACTAACACATGCCAATATTATTAAGAAGACCAGCTAGGCACAGTGGCATATACTTGATGCTAGCTACTTGGGAGGTTGAGGCAGGAGGATCCCAACTTCAAGGTCACCTCAGTGATTTAATGAGATACTGCTGCAAAGTAAAAAATAAAAAGGGCTAGGGATGTGGCTCAGTGGTACAGCCCCACTGGACCCAATCCCCAGTCCTGAGGGATTAAAAAAAAAAGACAATTCATTTTCATGAAGAATTTCATACCACAGAGTTAGTGTCTTTTCTGATCCCCCAAACACTGACCCCATCTATCCAGGGAAAGCAGGCACAGGAAGAGGCACCAGTACCACTCCCTTCTCTGCTCACCAAGCCCCTGGGGGGCCTCACAGGTCCCCACAGAGCTGGAGGCATGCTCCTGCTCCTCTTGGAGAGCAATGACAAGGCTGTGTCAGGCCTGAAAGCTTAATGAGAGGAGCCACTGGCCACCCACAGCACTGGGTCCTGACCAGTAAATGGGCAGCTTCCACATCCCATCAGTCCTCTCAACCAGCACCACCTGGGGCAAGGCTCATGCTCGGGCCGTGGCCATAAAAGTGTGGGTTCAGACCCTGGGGCCACAGCAGCATGCCTGCCAGGAGCGGGCAAGAAAGAGTCAGGGACCTGCCCACCAATACTCACCTGGTCTGTGCAAAGTGGCTGAGAAGCTCCCAGAGGGTCTGGCCTGAACAGAAAGTATCCTGCAACCGGGAGCCATCATCAAGCTGCAGAGCAATTCGAACCTGGAAGGGCAGGACGTGAGAAGTCAGTTAGCAAGAAGAGCAGGTATCCCAACAAACCTCACTTGAATCCCAGGGAACAGGCAGAAGGCACCCACCTGGGGAGCACTGCTGCCACTCTGTACACCCTGGAGACACCAGTGGTTTAGGGGCCCTTAAGGGTCACACCAGCACATGCAGGGGCACAGGTGTGCAGGCCCCACAGGAAGAATCCCTCATGGAAATGCCTCTGGTGCCAGAGGCACCCTCAGAAGGTCACACTCCATTCACCTGGTGCAGCATCACCAGAGGCCCCGAGCCGAATTGCCCCTGACCAGCCCCAGAACCCTGAGACAGTAACTGATGTGTGTTGCCAAGTTTCCAGAAATTTGTTACATGGCAAAATGTAACTGACACATGCCATTTTATGAATTTTTATTCACAACTGAGCACACTACTTTTCCAAATCTTTTTGGACTGGTAATTGATCACCCTGGAGCACTGAACCCCCAAGCCACATCCCCAACCCTTTTTATTTTTGAGATAGGGTCTCACTAAGTTTGCTTAGGCCCTCTCGAAGTTGCTGAGACTGGCTTTGGACCTGTGATCCTCCTGCCCCAGCCTCCTAAGCCTCTGGGATTACAGGCATGCGCCACTGTACCTGGCCCATATCTACTGTTAATAATTGTGTCCCCATTCAGGAGCACACCCAAACGGAGGCATTCCTTCTGGTCCCTCGGCAAAGGGAAGCAATAGATCCCCTGGTGCACGAAGCCTGGGTGTGGACCTGAGCTCCACCCTCAGACCACACACCCTGGCCCAGGCTTACACATCTGTTCTCACCATGGGATTCTTTCTTTAAGTGCACATTTACATCGAACCCCAGTAACTCAGAGGAGGGACTCCCTGCATGACAGGGTGCCTGGGCCTCCCACTCAACCCGCATACCTGAGGAACCCTGAGGGAAGCCAGGCTCCCTCCCACGCAGCCGAGAGGACCGCAGCAGCAACCAAAAGACCAGTGTTGGGCTCAGTTCCAGCCCACTGAGTCCTGGTCGACACAATCCAGCCACGGCCTTGGGGAGCTATCAATGCCCCAGGGCAGAGCCTCCTGATCTGATGAGAAAGCACTTTCCCACCACGCAGGGAAAACACAATCACAGGAGAAAGGCCTGGGCAGTGGCTGGTCAAGAGGACAGTCATCACCCTTGCTGCCGTTTTCATCTGCAACAGAGGCTACCTTCCAAACCCCTAATAGCCTGGACCCAAGGGACTGCGGTGAGCAGCAGCAGGGCCAGCAAGCCCTGCTAGAGAAGGACGGCAAGGCCTAAGCTCTGCAGCTGCTGGCCGAGGTGTGCAGCAGCTGCTGGGGGTCCACCTGGCTCCTCAGGTTCTATATCTTTATGACTCTGTGACCAGACGCGTCAGCCTGGTGGGCAAACATTATTGACAGGCTGAGATCGACACGGCACCAAAAAGGAAAAAAGGAAGACAGAAGACCATGACTGGCTTCCAGTCAAACCAGGTAGAATACATTGCTCCAGCCTGACGGAGAAAGGCCCCCGACTCCCTTCTCCTCTTCCAGCCCTTCCTGGCTCACAGCCCAAACGAGAGCCAGGCAAGCAGCCCCCACCTCACAGCCGGCCACATACCTACCATTTTCTCTGGCCCCTCACGGCTCCGGGACACAGGCACCATCTCTAGTTTGGCATTGTTGGGCAGGTTGGCAAATCTCCACTGGAGAGAGAGGTCCAGCACAGTCCTCTGGAACCTATGGAAAGAGACCAAAGCCACTTGCTGCCTTGCAGACCACACTCGTCCTGACTCCATCCAAACTGCAGGGCAGCTCCCCACTGAGCAGGCCCCATGGCCACAAGAGCAAAAAGTTACAACCTGCAGAGAGGCAGGTCCCCAACCACAGGGAGCTCAGGAAGGAAAGAGAAGTATAGCACTGACTCAGCCTGAAAGCCTGGGAGACAGGGAGAGGAGCAGGAAACTGGCATCATGAACCTCTGGACCCAGAGGCCTATAGACCCTCAAGAAATGAACACATGGGGGCGGGGGCTGGGACTGGGCTCAGCGGAGGAGCGCTCGCCTAGCACGGGCGGGCCCCAGGTTCGATTCTCAGCACCACATAAAAATAAAAGACACTGTGTTGTGCCCATCTACACCAAAAAAATAAATATTCCACCAGTGGAAAGTCTCCCCCTACCACTCCTGCTTCCTCCCATCCTCCAAGGGGGCCACACCCAGGAGACAAACAGAGGAGGCAGAGATTCTAGAGAAACCACACCAGGAATGGGCCAACCCAACATCCTCAAGGTAAACTCAGGGCAAGAGCAGACAGTAAAGCTACAGCCTCCCACCTGCAGCAGCAGCCATTTCTCTGCCATCTCCTGGGGTGAGCTGTGAACCAGGGCCTGGAGGTCTAAGAGCCTCCTAGCCAGCAAAAAACACCATAGATCCCTGGGAAAACAAGGTGAGCCTGAAGACTTCTCTGAGCCCCAGCAGGGAGGGTCAGAGGTGTTCCAAAGGCCCAGACAATACGGCTTCTCTCAAAAGCACCAGGGACCAAAAGCCCTGGTGAGTCATAGAGATGGCATCCAAGGAAAGGAGAAACAGGCAGCAGCCCTGAGCCCATCTGGGATCAGCCTTCAAGAGCCTGCCCCTTCCAGAAAGCATGGCCTCACATAGTCACAACTAGTGTGCCTTCTGATGAGCAGCTCAGACCAGGAGCCAGCAGGCAGCCCAGGCCAGGCGAAGGCAGAGCCAGGACCTCAGTGCAAGGCTCCTGACACCCAGCTCAAAACACCTTGGCCGCAGACCCACAAGGAACTCAACACTTGCCCTAGGAGGAGAAGAATGACAGGCACTGGGGAGCTCACCATGCTGCCTTCGCCAGGGTGGGCAGGGCAGGAGCCACCCGCCTGGGAGCCTTCCCAACCTAACCCTTCTCATGCCACCTCCCACAGGTCCCAGGACCCGTGTGGAAGCAAGAACCACTGGTCCACCCCACACTCTGTGACAGACCACACACACCTGAGAAAAGTTCCTGCTCATCCATCTTAAAAAACAAAGTTACTGGCTCCGATTTAAAAAGAGACATGTCGGGGGGAGGGAGAGGAAGGGAGGGGGCATAGGGGTTGAAAAAACAGTAGGATGCGATGGTCATCACTACCCTAAGTACGCGTACGAAAACACGAAGATGTGACCCTACTTTGTGTACAACCGGAGATATAAAAAATTGTGCTTTATATGTGTAATATGAATTGTAGTACATTCTGCTGTCTTATATAACAAATTAAAATTTTAAAAATTTTAGAAATTAAAAAAAATAAAGAGAGATATGGATCAGAGGAAATCAATGGGAGAACAAGTAAGAGAACTATTGTCACTCAGAAGTCAGACACTGGACTCTATTTTAATTAAAGTTTAGAGGAAAACTACAGAACTCGGGAGAGAAATTCATGTGAAATTTGAATACAGAGAGTGGTCAGCACAACTGTTAATGCAAAATATTAGAAACAACTGCTCAAGGTTTTCTGGATTTCTAGCAGTTTACAAAGCCCAAAGGTATTTGGAAAAAATGAAATGAGGCAACACTGATAGTGTCTTGAACATGGCTAGCAGACTGGAAACTGCCAAATAAATATCTAATGTAAGACAGGACAGCAAGTCCAAAGAGAATCAAGAGCAGTGGGCAGAAAGGAGCCTCACTCACCCAGGAGAGGGATGGCAGTGCTTTGTAAACCAATGGCACGGTGAGTGATGACAGGAAGACAGGAGGAAAGCTAATACAGTGTTGCATTGGAGCTCACTCAAACTATACTCATTAACTGGGCATGATGGCCCACACCTGTAATCCCAGCAGCTTGGGAGGCTGAGGCAGGAGAATGATAGGTTCAAAGCCAGCCTCAGCAGCTTAGCAAGGCTGTAAGCAACTTAGTGACCCGCAGCCGGCTGGCCCTCAAATAAGAAATTAAAAGGGCTGGGGATGTAGCTCAGTGGTTAAGTGCCCTTCAGCTCAATCTGTGGTACCAAGAAAAGAAAAATTATACTCATTGGCTCCAACCAGACACCATCATACGGATGGCAGTCAACAGAGTTGGAACAACACTCTGTGACAGGATGCTCAGAAATGACCCACCAGTTGAAGCATGTGTCCTGGGATTCTCAGACAGACACAACAGGATGAGGGACAGGAAGGCTGACACCACCCGATGATAACTCCTGAGAAACTCCTCCCTGGAAAGCCCTTGAGCTGTGTGGACAAAGCTGAGGCAGGCTCCTGCCCTCTGCTCAACCATCAGGACCACACTGCCAGGACCTATCTTTAAGATGTAAAGCTTCCCTGGTAAGACAGAAACCCATCCCTCACCAGCACAAGTGTCCTGACACCCCTAGGCCTCAGACCCCTGGAGGATCTTGTGGATCTCCACGGAACTGTGCAGGGAACTCCAGGACTATGCTCTGCCATAGCTGCCAGGCTCCACCCCGTTTACAGAATTTCTTCCCAGAACCTCTTTGTCTTCAGACCCCTGCAAGAAACTTATACAACCAAATGCACTAAAGCCCTCTGTAGGTTGAATGTAGGCCCACAAAAGACACATCAATGTCCTAACCCCTCAACCTGTGAATGTGACCTTATTTGGTAGAAGGGTCTTTGCAGATGTACTTAAGGATTTGAATAAGATCATCCAGGATTACCCGGTGGGCCCTAAACCCAATGACAAGTATCCTCCTAATGCAGAGAGAAGCCATGTGAAGGCAGAGGCAGAGAATAATACAGCTACAAGCCAAGTACCCAGGCCTGCAGAAGCTAAGCTGGAAGAGGGGAGAAAGGACTCTCCCTCAGGACATGCAGAGAACAGCTCTGTCACACCTTGAATTTGGACTTCCAGGCACCAGAAAAGGCAAATATACTTCTGTTGCTTGAGGCCACCCAAGGGGACTCTTCCAAGCCAGAGACAGTACATGTTGGGGGCATGGAAGCAGATAAGACTGGGACCCCACAGCTGAGCCCAAGCACACTCACTTCAGATCGTATTCACTGGGGTTGAAGTCCTGCCGCCGACAGGTGTCCTCCAGAACCTGGGAGATTAAAGGACAGTGAACCTCTATTGTTGGCCAGGGCACCTGCCCAGAAAGGCAGACACCTCCATCTGTGCAGAGTCAGCTGCTTGGCTGTCCTGACAAAACCAGGTGTCAGGCCACTGGATCAGCAGCTCAAAGCCCTGTGCAACTAACCCACAAATCCTGTCCACTCACCCCTTCTAACTAGGGACCTCCACGACCTGCCTTATTTCCACCGTCTATTCATGTGGACACGGTCTATTCATGCTCTGGGCTCTCTGGTCCTCACTCCACAGATATCTTTGGATCACATGCCCTGAGATTGTCTCTCCCAAAGAATAAAGTTCAAACTATTCATTTCTGCCCGCTGCTCAAATCTGCCCAGAGACAGACTGCCCTGGGCCTAAGAGCCTTTGAAAACCTGCTCCCAGACCCTCGCCCCTCGTCCCCAGGAGCCAGATCAAAAGGGTCACTCCTGTAGGTCCTGTGGCCCCGCAGCCAGAATTCCCACTTCTGAACTTCGCGTCCCCCACTCCACCCGACCCCGTGGTCTCCTGCCACAGACACCGGTCGCATGTCCTTTGACCCTCACTGTCCCCTACAACAGGGGCTCAATGAACACTTTTAAGTTGAAATCATTCGAGGTCACAAGCAGCGCCCAGCAAAAGCGCAGTGCGTGACTCAGCAAGTCGCTTCCGGACACGAAAGCCGGCCCGTCCAAGGTCCCGGAGGATGAGAGGGACAGGGATGACCCCCTGCCCAACGCCCCGGAAGGCTGGGCTCAAGTGAGCGCCGCCGTGGCCTCTGGGCCCTCGAGGAGACTCGCGACGCACGGCGCCGCC